GGGTGAGTGGGGTCCTTCACTATACAGGTGGCCCTCGTCCTGCATCTGGAGGTGTATATGTCTGTGACAGTTGGGGGGCTGCCTCCGACCACTCTGTAGAGCTTTCCTCTCTGCCTCAGTGCAGTTTCTGTGCCACACGTTGATGCCAGAGCACAGAAACTGCACTCTCCACCGCACATCTGTAGAGGGAGATGAGGACTGAGCTCTCCATTCCCACACATCTCATCTGCCTCGGGAAGTAGAGCCTCCGGTGAGCCTTCCTGATCAGGCTGGAAGTGTTTTTCCAGGTAAGGTTGCTATCTAGGTACGTACCCAGGTACTTGTAGCTGGGTACTACTTAGACTGCAGATCCTCCAACGTGCAGGGGTGTGTGTGCGTCTTCCCCTCCTCAAGTCCACAATCTTCTCCTTCGTCTTCTTGTCATTTAAGCAGAGATTGTTTTTCCTGCACCAGTCCAAGTGTTCCACCTACTTCCTGTAGCCGGTCTCATCGTTTGTGAAGCAACCAACCACAGCTGTGTTGTCTGCAAACTTTACAACATGACAGCCTGGATGGTTGGGTGAGCAGTCATATGTAAGCAGCGTGAACAGAGCTTTATTTGCAATCTGTAGATGTGACTAATGTTTGTGTTCATGTTTCTCTGCAGCGCGTTTGAATGAAGACGAGAGGCAGGGGTTTCAGCATCACTAACAAACCTTTCTCTTCCTGTCTGCTCCTGTTTACTCTGTGTACTTTCTCTTTTGTATGATGGAAAATTCATGTGACAAAATAAAGAGAGCTGTTTTCCTTGATTTCTTGAAGATTAAACAGCTAAATATGTCCTCAGTAAAAGTAGAATCACTGATTTGCATCAGCTGTTCAACATAGTTTTACCATAGCATGGCATTTGAATGGTTGATTTTATTCTAATGTGTTTTTTTTTAATTAATCTTTTATCCACAATAAAATTCTTGGGGTTTGTAGGCAAAAAACAGATTTTTTACCCTAAGAAATTTGAGATAATATTTAACCATATCCTTTATGTGGTTAATGAGAATTCAGTTTATTAATATTAAATGATCATTTCAGACTGGAGAACCTGAGCTCTCTGCTTCTTCCTAACATTTCTACATGCATGTCAATTTTACGTTTTGTGTGAGCTGGTTTCGCTTTCGCTGTTGCTATGCAGAATTCGACAGAAGAATTCATCTATTTTGTAACTGGGCAGATCAGGAAAAGGCGTCCAATCAAATTAATTCCTGTTCTAAAAACATTTCTACTCGACGAATAGGATTAAACCTGCTTTTGGTGTCTGGGTAGATTTTTGAGAACTGACCAATGGGAATAGACGCTGGGTTTGTAGTCAGGCAGACATAACAAACTCGTCCAATCACAAAAAAATCTGAAAAGGGGAATTTTGCTGTATCTTGGCTCAGGTACTTTCTTTTTCTTTTTTAAAATAAATAGTGAAGCGGGCTTCGCTTGTTGGATCATACAGTAATAACAGAATTTATGTATCATTATCAAGAATTATTTGGAAATGAAAAAGATCGCGTTGAAACGATTTAACGGGCTGTTTCAGCGCTTACTAGCTAATGCTTAACAGTTAGCTACTAGCTTAGCTTGTGAGCCACCCTATGATGATTAGCATGCAGGTAGCCCGTATATGTCTGTTATCCGGAACATCACCGGCATCCTAACCGGGAGCCGATTCACGCACGCGTGACAGTCGTGAAACGGTTCTGACATCTGTTCAGAACAACTCAGCCACTGAGTCTGGGCCGCCTCCGGTAGCTAACGCGGCGGACGGCATTAGCCCGCTAGCTTCGGAGTAATATGTTCAGCTGGGCTCGTGTGTGTGTATGTGCGCGCGCGCGCTGTAAATGGCAGCACATGACCACCGGCGCTGTAAACACTGCGGCCACACCGGCGACTCCTGATAACGGTAGCGGGCTCCGTGCTGCTCCTCCCCCGCTCCGGGGATTGCCGTAACACAGCCGGCGCTGGTCTCTCCGTTACCGCCCGCGGTCGGGCTGCCAGCCGCGCAGCCGCCGCAGAGCTATGACCCGGAACGTGGGTTGATTGCAGCTGTTTACATCCAGATTTTTTAACCTGGACGGTAAAATTAAACCGTTCTAGCTGGATCAGCATCGAGGGCCTGCATGGATGGGACGTGAAACCTGAGTCCCCAGAGGGGTCCGAGTAGGGGTGTGTTTGGCGGTTTCTGGACCCCGCAGGCCTGTACAGTAAAGCTGGGCAGCAGTGATACCTCAGGGCCCGCTGGACCCCAACACTGCAGCAGGACTGTGAACTGCATTGAGAGCCACAGCTGCCTCCAGATGTTTATCATCGTGCAGTCAGCTGTAAAGAATCCTGAGATGTCCTAGTAACTAATTGTTGATTTTTAGGCCAAAGCTGATCACATTAGTTCTTAAACTGTTTCCTGAACACAGTTAGTGTCTCATCATATTTTATTAAACATGGTTAGTTCTGCTGGAAAGCTATGGGAGTCTGTGGGGA